CATAACAAGAAACAATGCCAGACAGGAGATATGAGTTACTGGCCAGGGTGGCCCAAAAGACTCCCAGAGAGTAACCTAGCATAGAACTGGGAAAATGAACAGCAGACTCCAATCTTATCTAAAGGAATATTGACAACTGATTGCTGCTAGATGAGAAACAGCTTATCATCCTAAAACAAGGCTCTCTAGATAAGCTGACTAGATTCAGCAGATGGACAAGCACTGGAGAATCGCTGGGGGTGCCGACAACACAGTGGACAGTACCAGGGATGACAGAGATTATGGGCTGGGGGGGGGGGGCTATGGGACGGTGCCATTTGGAAAGTGGGCATATAGATGAATAAGACTGTGTGGGATGTTCTGTATGATATAGACACAAAAAAACAAGTTTTTTAAAAAGACATATTTAAGGAGGAAGCATAAAAATTTACTTCATGTTAATTAGTAGAGGTGATAAACATTACCATTGAAATCTACCCAATGACTTTATATCCATACTCAGGTGCCAAGGATCCGAGTGTAACTGACTGTGACTAGTAACAATCAGATACATAGAGATTAAAGACATGTCCAAACATCTAAGCATTAGTAGCATTAAAAATGTAGGAAATCCAGTATATTTTTAAATGAAATGGAGATCTTTTTAAAAGGTTAAAAACTCATTCAATTTTATGTCTTACAGGGCTTATACTGAGTTCAATATTGCATAATTGTATTAATTCAACTGTGAGCCTAAAAATTTACAGCCACTTTTGAAAGAGATGTATCTGTGCTCTGGAAATTGTTACTGTATACGTTAAAGCTGTAATGAAATGCTTCTTCTAATCATGTGGTTATTAAATTAAAAAAAGAAAGAAAAGGAAAAAAAGTAAAGGCCACAGAGGGCAGAGAAAGACCTCAGCTTTTCTTAAAAAAAAAAAAAAAAAAAAGAAACAAAACCTTAGGTGTATTTACTTTTATTTTGAGTGTTTTATGTGCATGTATGTGTACCACATGTGTGCAGTGCCCACAGAGACCAAAAGATGGCATCATATCTCCTGGAACTGGAGCTACAGATGATTGTTAGCCACCATGTGGGTGCTAGGAACTATCCAGGTCCTTTGCAAGAACAAGCAGTGCTCTTAACTACTGAGCCATCTGACCAGTCCTGAGACAATCAGTTTTTTCAACCACAAGCAACTAAATTCTGCCAACAACCTGAATGGACCTTGGAACAGATTCTTTCTCTGAACCTCCAGATAAGGACCTATTCCAGTCAACTTCTTGACTTTAGCCTTGTAAATCCTTAGCAGAAAACCCAATTGAGCTGCCTTGTAGAACTGTGAAGATAATCAATGTGTGTTTTGTGTATGGTAGTAAAACATACCAAGATATTTAGTGAGTTAGCCATTGTAGGGTACACCAGTATGGCATTAAGGACTTCCACAGGGCTGTGCAAACATCACCACATCCCTCTCCAGACCTATACTTGTCTTTCCAAATGAAAACTCCATACCTGCAAACCGACTGCTTCTCATTTTCCCATCCCCAGTCCCTGGAAACCACCATTCTACTTCCTGTCTATATGAATTTGACTACTCTTCAGATCTAATAGGGAATCATAATATTTGTATTTTGTTTATTTTACTTAGCATAGCACCCTTGAAGTCCATCCATCCATGTTAGAGCATGTGTCAAAACTTCCTTTCAAGGCTAAATAATATTTGTCTTTTCCCTTCCCCTCCCCTCCTTTGTTCTTTTCTCTTTTCTTGTTGTGCTAAAAGACCCGAGACAAAAGCAACTAAAGGAGCCAGGCATGGTGGCATATGCTTTAATCTCAGCACTTGGGAGACAGAGGCGGGAGGACTGCTATGAGATCCAGACCAGCCTGGTCTACATAGTGAGTTCCAGGCCAGCTGGGACTACAGGGAGACCCTGTCTCAAAAGATTTAAAAAAAAAAAAAAGCAACTACAGGGTTTCATCTCCCTTTCTATAGAGCTCCCTTTATGTACAGTTATTTTTATACAGTCCAGGATCCCAGTCTGGGGAATGGTGCCATCTGCAGTGGGCAGGTCTTCCCACTTCAATCTTCAATTAGCTTACACAGGATAATCCCTAACAGATGTGCCCAGAGGCCCATCTTCCAGGTGATTCTAGATCTCAAGATCTCAACAAGTTGAAGATTGAGATTATCCATCACAGTATTCCTCTGTGGGTACCACATTTTGTTTTTTCTTTTTTTTTCAGTGTGAAAACATCTAGAGTGCATGCTTTTTGGCTATTGTGACTAATACTGCTATGATCATAGTACACAAATATTTACTTAAGTCCTTATTTTCAATTCTTTTGCTATATAAATGGGTGCTGTCTGAAGCCAACTCATTATTCTGAAAACTGGTAAGTGAAAAGAAACAGTAAAGTAGCTGGACATGGTGGCACGTGCCTGGGAGGCAGAGGCAGGTGGATCACTGTGAAATTCAAAGCCAGCCTGTTCTACATAGCTGGGGCTACAGAGAGACCCTGTCTCAAAAACCCCGAAACAAAACAAAACAAACAAACAAGAAATAGTAAGGTAGTTATACCGCTTATTTGAATTACACAATTAGTTACCAGACAATAGATGAAAAGAGAGGTGTCATAAAATTAAACATAATTATAGACTATCCCTATTTTGCAACCTGGAGTGAGTTAATGAGTATAGGTACTTACTAAGCACTAGCATCTACTAATATCAATAAAGAACAAAAACTGAATTGTTTCCTGCTAAAGAGCACACCACCTGCAGTCTTGCCAAAGGCATCAAATCTGAGTCTGATCTAAGTTTCTGGCTGCAGCTACCAGTCAGATCAGAAACAGAAGAGAGAGGAGCATGCAAAACTGTACCAGTATACACTCTGAATGTGTACTATGCAAGCTCCAGAGGACAGAGAGTCCAATTCTTCGACAGGTAAATTGTGAACAAAAAACATCACATTTGAAAACTGGCAAAACCAAACTACAGATTTGCTGACCTTCCTGGTACTCAGGAAGCAGAGGCAGGACCACTTCAACTCAGGGATTTGAGACCAGCCTTGGCAACACAGCAAGACACCATCTAAAATTATATAAATGAACTTAAAAAAAACCAATAACGTTTCTGGGTGCATGCTTTAAAACTACAAAGAAATGAAAAAAGCAATGACTTAGGAGACAGGTAGGAGGCATTATTTTGACTGGGGCACATGCAGAGGTTTCAGGGCAGCAGTTTTAGGTACAAGGGCTAAGAATTAAACTACATTTTAAAACCAAAAAACAAAAGCAATGAATAACTGCAACAACAGACAGTGGCCTAAATCCAGATAAATGCAGCCAAACTGCTGTCTCAACATAGCTCAGCCAAAGCCTCACCACAGGGCCTAGCTCAAGCCAAAAAAGCAGTTAAAACCAGCCTGATGGTGAATAAGGTCAATAGCAAGTACTCAGAAAAGCAATTAGACCAAGAAGACAAGAGGAACCAAAGGAAAAATTTTAAATACGAAAGTATAAGCCAGGTCTGGTACATATGAGGTCAAGGCCACCTGGGCTGCACAGTGAGCTACAACTCCAAAAACAAGAAAAGAAAAAAAAAACACACAATTTTTTTTCTTGGTCTTTTTGAGACAGGGTCTCCCTGTAGCCCCAGTTGGCCTGGAACTTACAATATAGACTAGGTTGGCCTTGAACTCACAGAGATCCCCCTGCCTCTACCTCTGGAGTGCTGGGATTAAAGGCCTGTACCGCCACGCCTGGCCACAAACAAATTTTTTACAAAGCATAAGATGAATTTTTAAAATCTTTATGCTGTCAATATACATAGGCCTGTTTTCATTCTACAAATCTACCATACTTGCTTCTGTCTCAATGCAAGTCTTCCCCCATTCTGATTTAGCTTCCTAGAATTATTTTCCAATTCTACCAAGAACTGCTAATAAAGGCAATAATATTTACAAAAATATATTCGAAACTTCAAAAGCAAGGGTGCACCCTAGGTTCAATTCAGAGCACCATAAACAAACAAAAATGGAGGGGCAGGGGGCAGATGACAGGGAAAAAAGCAATATTGAAACAGAATTCTGAAAAAGAGAAAGCTACCAGAGGCTAAGTTCTAGCTGGGAGGATATTAGATAGTAACAGGAATGGTTCATTAGGAACTGTATCCCTGGCCACACATTCTTTCTTCTCTTTCAGACTTGAACTATGGGAGGAACGAATGAGCAGCAAAAAGCAGCATGAACCTGAGGTCTGCACCGTTGGATAAGGCCAGCCACAAACGGCCGCTGAGCACATCCTCTGAGATGGGACCTCAATGTAAAAGACGTGCTACATTTAAAGACTCAGAATGAAAAAAGGAATGTTAAATGCCTTATAAGTTTGTGTTGGCTACATGTTAAAATAGCAATATTATGACTATACAGCTTAGACAAAATATTAATTGCATCTGTTTAATTTTACTTTTTAACTGTAGGCTACCAGAAATGTTTAAGCTTTATGTGTTGCTCAAATTACATTTCTATTGCCCAGCCCTGCTATATATACATTATTACACAGTGCTGAATAAGAAAAGCAAAGCAGCCAGGCGTGGTGGTGCACACCTTTAACTTCAGCATGTGGGAGGCAGAGGCAGGCAGATCTCTGTGAGTTCAAGGCCAGCCTGGTCTACATAGAGAGGATTTTTTCAGAGCTTTTTTTCTATTGCTGGAACTGCACAACTGTACAACCCACAGAATTTCCAGCCTTGTCCCTTGTTTGGAAAATGGAGTCTAAAAAAAAAATCAGCAGGTGTCATGAATACAACATTAAATCACAGATACAAACAACAGTTCTAGTCCTGGTTCTAATACTGCTTAGAAGTTTCTTAAAGAAATTCAATTTCTGAGACTTGGTTATATAGCCCAACACCTAATTAAGGAAGCTAATTAGGACTAAATTTGGACTTCAATAATTCCATTGAAATTATCTTTTTCTGTTGAAACTGCTTTTATAAAGATGAATGAATACTCACTCTGAGTCTAACGCAGCCTCTTCGAGAACCTCTCATCATTTTGTCCTTGGACTGAAAGAAAAACAAAACAATCTGTGAATAAAAGGTTAACAGGCTGTCAACTGTTTTATAATCATCTGGGGGTTAAGACTGACAGCACTGGCTAGCCCGTCTGCCCATCCCCCACGCAGAAGAAATCATTTCTTGACAGGGGAATAATCAGCTTTTAAATGAAAATGTTTATAGACAATAGCAATCAGCCTCAGCATAGAACTTTATATACATCTTTAATGCACCAAATGTTACACTACTTTTCTTTAAAAATTATTTATTTATTTATCTTTATTTTATGTGTATAAAGTGTTATGCCTGAATGTGTGTAAGTGCACCTATGTCCTGCAATGTCTGAGGAGGACAGAAGAGGGTGTCAGATCCCCTGGAACTGGAGTTACAGACAGTTGTTAGCCACCATGTAGGTGCTGGGATTTGAACCCAGGTCTTCTACAAGAAGTCAGGGCTCTTAACTGCTGAGCCACCTCTCCAGCCCCACAATGCCCTTCTTGTTCTTCACTCTAGCCGTGTTTCTCTTCTTTCAGGGGGTAAGAGAATCACCTGTAAGGTGAAGAATGACCTTTGAGTTTAAGAATTGCTCTCTGAAGATGCTGACAAAAGGCAGAGGACTGCACTTGGAGAAAGAATACTCAAGCTTTACCTCTTCAATTCTGCAAAATTTATTTCCTCATCTGGGTCCTTTTCTGCCTTGCCATAACTCACAGTGCCTTAGCCCTGTCTGATGTGAATTCTCATCCCTGGGTGCCTAGCCTCCTGTTTGTTTCCTAATCGAGTGCAAACTGTATCCTGTATCCTGTATCTTATGCTTCAGTACAAGGTCTGGTATGCATGAGGTGCTCAAAAAAACATTTGCTGGTAAAATGCTGTTGTCCTTTATGTCGCCCGCAATAGGTTGAGCAGAGCAAAGACTACAAGCCCAGCAAGTACTCTGCTGACACTCAAGAAACGGCCCTAAAAGTAAAGTGGCAACACAAAGCAAAGTAAACTACAATAACCAAAGTTTAACAAATACTTAATACTTATAGAATAACTGGTACTTTTTTTTCCCATAGCCTACCTATGTGAGAAAAAAAGCAAAATGCACCAATTTCATGTGACTGTTAAACTGTCCATTTGAAACCACACCCTACCACCTCCAAGTTTCTAAGCCTCAGGAACTTATGTTCAGAGCAACTGTGGATGGACTGAAGACAGCCTTCCTTTTATTCCACTTACAAATAAGCACAAAAACAAAGACATATATTTTTAGAAAAAATTTTCAATACCAAGCAAGATGGAAAAGCTCTTTACTAATAATACAGCTAACAGAAACAAAAACAGGCGTGGTGGTGCACACCTTTAATCCCAGCACTCGGGAGGCAGAGGCAGGCAGATCTCTGTGAGTTCAAGGCCAGCCTGGTCTACATAGCAAGTTCCAGCCCAGCTGGGGCTACAGGAAGACCCTGTCTCAGAAAGACCAACAAAACAAAACACCAAACCAAACCAAAGCAAAAATTCCTTAAGCATTTAATAACCCTTTTACTACACCTACACTTATCTTCCCTCCAAAAGAATAAAGGTAGTATGAAAAACATTAGGTTAGAAAATATCCAATGAGGTTAGAATGCAAAGTAAACTGAAAGCTAAGCTGTTTGTTGTTAGGCCTCTT